GATATTCCTAAACAGAACTATTTTTGATATGAAAATCAAACAGTATTAAAAGACACTTAATGAAATAAACTTTTTAAAATCAACATGCAAATTAGTTAAACCTGAAGAGTGATATTGCCTAGAAGTACATTATTTACATTATTCGAACTATTGTCCTCATCTTTGTTGCCATATTTATCACAACGTTTCGGCCATTGTATGCTCCAGCAATGGGAGTGTGTTGTTACTATCTTTCTCCATTGTGAACTGTATCAAAGGTCTTATTGTTCACGTGGTCTAGTAGAACTGACATCCATTAAACATGGCAAGTGGAACTAGAACAGTCTACCCCAGTGAGAGAAATAAAGGGTTCAGTTCGACATTCCAACCACCTGAAGAAGCCTGAAAGTACAACGGCTGAAATGTGATAAATATGGCAACAAAGATGAGGACAATAGTCCAAATAATGTAAATAATTTACATAACACCTCATCTCAGAAATATAGACAGATGCCTAGAAGTAGAATATATAATACAGATATTGAGCTTTTAGTGTGTAAATTACTCTAAAGTAGTTTGTAACACATTTCTTTATCATCTCTAATTTGCATTTGTCTTCAGGCAGAGTTTGCTCTAGGATGGTTCCAGCATAGGACAGAGTAGCAAATGAGCAAAATTATACTGTGAGGTGCTCAGCCCTAGGGAACAGCTGCATAAGGCCACACCTTCTCATTGCACCAGAGAGAGGGATTGGTGCTCACACCAATGCCATTGCAACCAGCAGTTGCGGGGACTCGGGCAATTTTTGTTCCTAGTCTGGGTGTACATGCTCGGGCTCCCCACATTAAACCAACCTTGTGTCATAACATGACCTTGTGGGGAGTTGAGTAAATTCAAATTACTATAAAATAGAACTGGGACTTTTTAACCTCAGAATTCGTGGTAGAATTGTGCTCCAGTTTTGAATTTACTCATACAGATTCCATAATATAGGTTTTACTTAATTAGCTGTTATGTTTCTCTAACTCTTCAAATGTTGAATGTATCACTAATTCTAATTTTCTATTTTCCCATCCTTACACTATATTAATTTTATCTTATAAATTGTCCCTTGTTCTGTCACACATGAAATAAAAATCAGGATCTATGTACATCAAATTGTCTTTAAATTAAGTTGCAGCTGAAGAATTATAGTTGAACTTTTAAAAGGTAAGCTTAAACATTAATTCAATACTTAAATGTAGCAATCAATTTTGAGTTCTTCTGTAGTTTATTGATCCCTATCGCATCTTCTCCTCCCAAGTTATTGTGATGATGGCCAAACCAAGAGTCATCCACAGGAGCTAGCTTAAATGCCAGTTGAGTGGGTGGATTTTAAGCTAGCTTAAAATTTTAAGCCAGCTGCAATTTTGGATACAAAAGGAAAATAAGAGTTACTCCCCTTGAACCATGAAAGCAATAATAATGGCTAGTATAATATCTTAATATATATTTTTAACCTCGCATAATCTGGCAACCCTGAATCTGAGCTCAACGAAAATCTTTCCCTGTGCCTAACTTGTCAAGGGCTTTTGAATGAGCAATAAATCATTGAAATCTGACTAGTGGGAGTGGAAGAGTTGCTTGGACACACACATGCACAAACACACACACATACACTGTACTTTATATATAAGATGTTACATTTACTTTCATGGTACTTGGTCTGTCAAAGAGAATTTATCAAAACTAACAATGATCACTCTTTTTAAAGTTGTTAAAGTGATTGAATTCACTTACTTGAATGACAGTAGATACAGAATCTGTTTCACAAATAAACTCTTTTGAATAGAAACAATGTCTATAAATTTGTCAGGAGTATATCCAGCATTGTTCAAATTCTCGTTTTTTGCATAGCTGCTGCTGTTAACACATTTCAACTGATCCATTCTTTAGCCCTCATTAGGTATAATCTGCAAGAACAAAGGAAACCTTCCTTCCTTCCGAAGCTACAATGCTTGGTAAATTTCTGCAATGCTGTGATAATTTATTATCATCATCGTCATCTTGTCAGCTGTCAAGGATTGATATGCCATTAAATCATTATGATAATTATAATAATAAGTTAAAGTATGAAATTCTGAAAGTTTGGGAAGGACTAGCAAAGAAAGTAATTACATTACCAGTGATCATTAGAGCACTGCAGTATTGTCAAAAAAAAAAAAAAACACAGGGAAAATTATGCAGATATCAGATTATGATTTGGAAATAGTCATTACAGAAAGCTTACCTGTTTGGAACAGCTAAGATAATTCAAAAGTTTTGGATACAGCCTGTCAATGAAAAGAAACAAACAATCAGCTTATTTTTTTAAGTCATGAGAGGTGACTTGAAAATAAACATTTTACCAGCAACCGACATCATACACTGTGAATAATATCAATAATAACAATAATGATAATGATTTCTTTTCTTGCACTTCTCACTTGTTGAATTCTCTTCTGGTTTCTTGCTTCCCAGTCAACTTTGATCTTCAAAAATTTAAATGCACTGTCAGTGGCTTTCTAGACTAAAATCAACATCCAGAGCAGAGGTTTTCCCCGATGGAATCAATGGACATGGGTCCATGACTTAGGTGTGCTTTCAAATTGGAAGACATTGGCTGTGATTCACCCTGGAGTGAAATGGAACCTACCAGGTCTACTTGCCCAAGACATGTGATTACCACTCTGACTTTCAACCCAAATCCATGGAAGGAACTGGCCAGGTAGAGCAACCCTACAATCAAACCTGGTTATGTGACTGATGATGATAAATGCTGGTTATCATCATCTCTGGGCAAATCAAATCTATTTACAGTTGATGATAATTGGTTTTTCTTTTAAAGATTGTGTTCACTTGGATTTATTGAAAGTTATGCTGTAATTTTTTCTTTATAACAAGTATAAATTCATGTCTGAGTGATATTAGTCACTGTGGTTGGCGTAGTATAAGTACCATTTCTATGTGATTTAGATTGGTTGTTATAACTATGAACTTCAGATTGATGATTACTGGTGTTTATTTACATGTTCTCCTGCAGTCAGTATATTGAAATGATAAAGTTACATAGAAATAATTCTAGTTTGATATGTTTTAGCTGATTCAAAAATACCTAAGAACTTTGTTATAGTTTTTAGATTTTAATTATAAAGGTATTTATAGAAAACCATTTTTCAAGCAAGAAACAAATTGAATACAAATATTTCTTACAAGAAATCAATATGATTGGGCAGATTACTTTGCATATTACTATATTTTAATCTGAAATTGCTCATAATCTCTTATGATTGAAATAATATATTTTTACTTTCTTATGATTACTGTGTCTGAAGTATCATGTCCCTGCTTGGCCAAATATAATTGTCTTTTTATTTTGAAGCATTTTGTATAATCCTTCGTCTTCCAAATGAATTATTCTTTTTATATATAAAAGAGTATTACTCTAAAGGCTAAAATTTAAATAAGATGTTTTATAATAGTAAATTAATCTTGTAGATGAAATGTTACATATTTCCCATTTATACCACAAGGCAGTGTTTGGGTCCAGGGTAAGAAGCCAGGATTTTGAATGCTGTTCTTCAAGGCACTTCTCATTTAGATTAATATCATAAAAGCTTCTAGTATATTTTGGATTCTGAATGCTGAACTAAGCTAACCACAAATATGAGAGGGTGCTGAAAAGTCCCACGAAAAAAAATCTGCTGAAATGATAAAACATCAGAACTGTTTTGAAAGAGCTTCTTGAACAGGCCAAAAACCTTTCAATACCATTTCATAATTGTTGTGAATTTAGTGCCATAGTAATTGTGAGTTCAAGCTCTGAGTCTAGTAGAGACTCACTCAGTTGAAACGTGACCAAAAAATGAGATATCCCTAGACATGGAAAGCAAAAGGACAATGTACCCTTGTAGTTTAAATAAAGGGCATAATTTGAGATACCCTATTGGTTAAACAGATCAATAAGCACTTGGCTGGGAAAGACATCAATACCTTTCTATGCCTTTAAATCAAATTTTGACTAAGTTTACAGTTAGACTAATATCCTCATCTTATTGTTATTATCACAACATTTCACTTGTTATGCCCTCTAGGTATCTGTCTCTCAAAGCAACCTTTAATAGCTAAGAGGATTGAATTTGATACCAGATTAATTGTGAGTTCAATCCCTGGGTCAAGTAGTAGGGATTCAGACTTGGTTGAAACATGACTAGCAATAACCGAACAGTACTAAAAAGAAGACAGTGTCTTTAGTTATAGGGAACAAGAGCAATATATTCTTGTAGATTAAAAAAAGGGTTCAGTTAGAAATTTCCTGAATGCTGGAGAGCATAACAACTGAAGTGTTATGATAACAGCAACAAAGATGAGGATATTCATCTAACTGTAAATAATTGCCTCATAATATCAACAGTAAATTCACATTTATTTTTTTTTTTAATAGAGGCTTGATTTTATTATCTCATGTAATTTAAATGAAAGATATATCTCCAATCTTTGATTTATACAAATTTTGATTTTTCTTAAACTAACTTTTTATTGTAATCATTTGGTGGTGTTTTTATTTATTTTATTTTTTAGAGGAGGAGTGTTGTTTTTTGTGTGTCCAACTATTTTCACTATCACTTTCAGAAATCAGAATAAAGAAATGAAATTAATATTATAAATAGATCTGTTTGTTTGGTGAAGAAAAATTGCAATGATTTTTTTTGTCCTTCATTTTCTTACTATGGCTTTTCATTTGTTTGATATTTACCAATACTGTTGCAAATTGTAAAATATTTCAAGGTTTTGAATAGCAGGAGTAAAAAAAAAAATGTCACTTTCTTAAAAGCCATAAACATGTTAGCATAATATAAAGTAAACATTAATGTCAAAACAACTTTTCCATGACCCTTTTTTAAATTAATCTGTAAATTACATTCTGTTTGTATTGTAAAAGTTGAATTGCAATGATGATTTTTATTTTCTATTGACAGACAAAAAGAATGTTGGTAGAGAAAATGGGTCAAGAAGCAGTGGAATTGGGCCATGGTGAAGTGAACATAATTGGGGTGGAGGAGAACACCCTTATTGCCAGTTTGTGTGACTTGTTGGAGAGAATTTGGAGCCACGGTTTGCTTACCAAAAAGGTTGGTCTAATGATTTTTGTGCCACTTTTATTACTATATGTTTTTTTAATCATTTTAAAAAAGATTTGGAAAACTTTTATTGTTTTTAATATTGCCTTAGGTACCTCCACTAATTGGCTGAAAAAAAAAGTATAGCATGATGAAAAAAAGGCCCCAAACTTAATAAAAACAAATTATTATTGTTAAAATGATTGTTATTATTAAGAGGAAAGACCAATCTATAATTTTTTTTTTTTTTTTTTTTTTTTTAATCCTTCCTAGCATGTTCAAAATTTTGCTTAAAAATCTTTTTTGTGTGTGTCAGTGGTTGGCCTAATATTTACTATTGGTGTTTTAATTCATTGATTAGAAAATTTTTGCAAAAATCAAATAATTGTTGAATTTTAATGAAACTTTCAGGACTTCACAAATGAATAAAATTATTTTTGAAATTTTTTTTAGAAAATCTTGATAAAAATATATTTTTTTAGATATGCTATTTTTTAATGTGTATAAAATATAATGTAATGTGCCCACTTTTGGAAGTATGGTTGATCATACATGACATTTTCATAAGAGCAATGACTATAGTAAATTTAAAGTCAACATTCCTAAAATTGGATTACAGAGAATATTTTCCCACATTATTAAGATTACTGAGTACATAAGAAATATATATATATATAAAAAGGTGCTCACCTGTCATTTTCTTTAAAGAAAATGACAGGTGAGCGCCTTTTTATATATTACTAGCAGTAGAGCCCGGCGTTGCCCGGGGATATAACAGTAAGAGATAGATCAAGTATCCACCATCATAAAGACTGAAAAATAAAATTGACAAAGATTATTGTTTAAGGTTGACGGACGCATGTCTTAATTTGTTTTGTTTTTTTATTTTTATTTTTTATGAATTGGTCAAACCCAAACTCAAACAAAAACATTGTTTTCAATCGTTATGAGTCTACTGATTGAATAGAATTTTATTATAAATAATTGTCTTGTAAATGGAATTTTAAAGCATTCTGAATGTTAAAATAAAGAAAAGAGTGTGCAAGAGAATAAGAAACACTACCTGCCAAAAAAAAAAAGTGAAGTTTTGTTTTTATTGGCTGAAAAAATATAGGAAACTGGCCCCATATTTAAAGTAACCCACACACAAACAAACCGATGTGAGTTGTCCCCTTCCATTTTCATGATGTCTCTTAATCGTGTTTTCAAATTGATTTTTGTGCAAAAACAATTATATTTTTCCCATTTTTGACGCTGTTAGAACCACCACAAGGTAATTTTATGTAGTCCTGTGAAGTTTTGTTGAAATCGGTTGAAAAATGTAGGAAATCCGATCCAATATATAAACGTTACAGACACACACACACACACACACACACACAATCTGCATTTTATAATAAGTAAGATGTTTTACAGATAAAGTCACTGTAGAACAACAATCAATCTGTCATCACCTTGTCAAAGATGTAAACATGACTGCTGTCAGTTAAAAATACTGCTTAAAAAAATTCCTTTCTGCGATGTTTTAAACTTAAAGTAAATAATATTTGTTTCAAATCAAATTAATTATACTTTAAATCAGCTAATATTCTTCAGATAAAGTTTCAGAAATGTATATTTTATTTTTGGAAATTTTTTTTAATAAAGAGAATTACATTGAATTGAAAGACAACTAAAAAATTGGTGCTAATCAACTATTTTAGCCAAAAAAAAAAAAAAATTATTCCAATCAATATAATTTCTGTTTGAAATATTTTGAAGTATTAATGGACATTAAAAATTTGATCCTTTAGCTTTCTATCCAGTAAAAAGGTCATATTTGTTCTTCTGTTAAATCAATTGCTAAGTCTGCTCCTAGGGACATGGTTCAATGTGTTGTGCTGGACAATTTTTCATCACTCAAATCTGTCTTGTATATTTATATGTCTGTTATTCATCTTTATTTTGAATATTGCTGCCACATTTGGTCTGATGCTCCTGCTATATATTTAGAGTTTCTTGATAAAATTCAAAGAAAATCTGCAATGTTATTGGTCCTGGCCAGGCATCTTGGCTTTAGTCATTTTCCTACTGCCATAACATAGCATCCTGTACCTTTTCTATAAATTCTTTCATGGTAATTGTTCTGATGAACTTTCCTCTATGGTACTTAGACATTATGAATTTAAGCGTAGTACTAGATTAGCAGCAAAGTCTCGTTATTCTACATTTGAAAGGACTAGATATAACCATAAGTTCTATACTAACAGTTTCTTCTCTTGCACTTCTTGCTATTGGAGCTCGATTCTGGTGTCTTGCTTCCCAGTCAACTTTGATCTTCAAAAATTTAAATTCAATGTCAAGCGTTATTTTCTGTCTTCTTAATTATATTCTTTTACTGTTCTCTTTCTTTAATAGTGTGTTTTTTCTTTCATATTCTCTAACACTCAGTAGCCCCATTCTGTCTTAGTGGCTTTATTGCCTTGCTTGGATTGAAATGATTAAAAAAACAAAATTGGTTTTCATATTTTCTCACACTTGGGAGAATGCCTCCTGCCCATTTATTTGTGACTGTAACCCATTTATTTGTAGACTGTAAAGAATTTGCATTTCTAATGATTGTCATAGATTTTGAAATCACCTTTCATATGAATTACAAGACAAATAAATAATTATTTGAAAAGCTGATTTTGTTAGCAGAATCCCTGATTTCATGAATTTGGTATCAAAGTGAAAAAGTTTGTCTTATTAGGAATTGTGGTACAGTGAAAAACTTTTTTCTGTCTTCCTCTCTTTTCAAGATCAAGTAACAAATACTTCAGAGTTATAATCTATAAATATAAATTATATGTAGATGCACTTAGGATTTATAATGATTATTTGAAAAGCTGCTTTGTGTGTGTCAAAAGTAATCATATAAAACCAAGTAGTGCAAGCTCATATCCCCTTAACGCACACCACCAATCATAATATTCCAAATATTGATCTCATGAAATGCCAACTTTCAAAAGTTTGTTATTCCCAGATCAGCATACAGTTGTTCAAATATTATTTGTTTTTCTCATTTTAACTCTATGCTCATTGCTTATGTAACTATTGATATCATGGATAGGTTTCATATAAACAAACGATCATGGCTTTCACTTATTCAGTTGATTGTTTGTATAGTGACAGTAAATACTAAAACATGTAAGCAGAGGTCAAAATTTACTGAGTAGATTTAATTTTTTTTTTAATCATTTCACCTCAAGCAAGGCAATAAAGCCACTAAGACACAAGGGGTTAATGAGTGTAAAAGAATATGAGAACTAAATATTACTAAGGATAGAGGACAATAAAGAACAGGAATCATTGCATTTAAATTTTTAAAGATCAAAGTTGACTGGAAAGCAAGAAGCCAAAAGAGAAATGCAAGAGAACATTTTTATTGCAGCTCAGATTGAAAAATCAGAGAGCCGAGTTAGACTTCCAGTTGAGTTCATTGAATTCATTTACATGCTAATACCCTTGGGAAAGGCATGAATCCATCTCTTCTTCCTCTTGTTACTGGTAAATAGCAGGACAAACTGGGTGCTATAGCCTTGGATAGCAATTGGTCTAGGAGAAGGACAACTCTGAATTCAAAACCTAAGTAGGGTTGTTTGGGACCTTGTGGCATACTACGTGTATGGGTTCTCTGTATTCAGCTCTTTCAAAATGTGTGGTTGGTTCTGTACAAGCCTTTATAATCAAATCATATGTGTGGGTAGTTTCGCTGTTTGATTTAAAAAAAAAACAAAAAAACTGAGCTGCTGTACCTTCATACATTGAAAAATGATAGGAGAGTTTGCCATTGCTGCAATAAAAAGTGTGATGGATAAATTTGTGGTAAAAATGTAGGTATGTGACATCCTACCAGATAAATAAAATGTGTTCCAATAGTCTATGATTGCAATTATTTTCACGTATGATATGGTTCATTAAATAGAGAGTTCAAGTTTATTGGAACCAGAAGTCCTACTATTTTGAATTCAGAGTTGTCCTCTCCTAAACTGGCTTACAGCCATATCACATTGAAACACCAGCTCTGGTGCAAACACTGAAGTTAAGCTTGGTCAGTACCTGAATGAATGACCGCTTGGGAATATTAGGTGGTGTAATGTCCAATTCCATTCAGGATTGTTATATTCACTTATGTAAAAATATTCTTGGGAAAGGTATGAATCCACATCTTCTCCTTCCCAGCTATGGGTTAATTAGTAAAATTTGTATCAGTAAATAATTATATCTAATAATAATTCTTTCAATCTAAATAATCTGCAAAAGATTGATAAGCCGTAAAAATCAATCTGATTGATTCTCCTAGACTGGTTGCCAAATAGCTAAGTCTACCCTATTTAACTCATAACTGGGTGTTTGGAGAAGAGATGGATTCATACCTTTCCCAAAGGATATTTGTACAAAAGTTAACTCAGACTTGACTGCAATTTAAACTCTGCTTATTGATTTCTTATTCCAAGATGCTACCCATTACCCCCATACATCCAAGTGACATCATCACAATAGCTATTAATTATGCTGAACCAACTTTAATACAGAGCTATGTTTATGGAACACTCAATAAGAAACAAACATAATTTGCTTATTAGACTATTTTTTTAATCATTAAAATCTGATAGAATAATTACTGAGATAGTTTGACATGCCAAATAGTTGAGGAATTTGAAGGTTGAATAAAGCATAACCTCAGAAAGTTCGGTGAAAATCAGTGAAATATTGTTCAGATATTTTGTTCATAGTATAATCATACATAAGTATATAGCATATTTTCTAATTTTAAACGCAACTGAGTTATTTTTATATTAGGAAGTTTAGTGTTGGTTGCTCTACTTAGCATATAGGATGTGAATACTGGGCCTTTGGATATCTAGCCTTTACTTCATCATTAGACCAAACTTTTAACACCCTTAGAATAGAACAGAATAAGAAGGTGAAATAAAGTTAATAACAAGATGTCAGAGAACAAAAATAAAATGGCTTCTTTCTTGATGATG